CTTATGATCTGTAACTCTATTTTAACTTTACCTTTTTATTTGCGCTTAGAAAAAGTTTTATAAGCGCTTTATAAGCTTAGATTATTATTATTATTATTATCTAGCACTTGTACTTTCTGTAAAAAATGTGGCAATGCCACCCCATAATTTCTGATATGTTTTATATATACTTGAAATATAAGTCAAAAAGAATAATWTCTGCATATTGCTGTATCCACCACCGGCCAGCATGATGAAAGTTTGAATCTTCTTGCAACTATCACGGTATTCCTGTGGTATGACGAAATGATGACAAGCATTTCTCAAAATAGAGAATCAACATGGCGGACGTAACCAATGGACGAACGAGACGTGGAAAAAATTCATAATTGAAAAAGTTAAGAAGGTTTATAAAACAAAACACTGGTCATTACTACGAAGGATTTCTTGGAATTAAGACAAAACCGAAGACCTGTCGTCTTGAAGAGTTTTTGAATTACATTTTGGAATTTTAAACTTGACTGTTTTCATAGTGATTGTCCCAGAAACGAAAGTCAAATAGTAACCACCATGGATAAAAATATGTGGMGATTCTTGGTTCTTGTGGTGTGTGCAAGTGTTGCACAAGGTACGTTAGCCTATAATAAACTCCCATAAGCTCTGAATTGCAAAGCTGCCTTCTCTACACAAGCTAAGGACCCAAGCTGAAGGAAACAAAGAATCTGAGAATTTTCGAAGGAAAATAGAATGGAAGCATGGAATTCTCTTAATGTCTTTGTTGCAGTGCGAATTTGTTCGTAAATACGTGTTTCTGAGGCTACTTTTACCGAGAATGTGAGATGCTTCGACTTTCAGGTCATTTATTCTCACTCTAAAAGTTTGATATTTTCTAAAATAACAACGAAAGATACATTTTAAAATAATCTCCAACTTAGAAACGTTGTTATTTTAAAAATGAAAGTATTATTTCTTATTAAGTTAATGTCATTATTAATTGTTATTTGAAATAAGAAAGAAGCTGTTGATTTCATCATTGACCAAATTATTACTCGGGGTTCCGAAGGAATCCCCGAGTTTAAATTTCGTGCTTCTTATTTTTTTTCATTGTCGCTTATCAGTCACAAACTGTCCAACCTATCACGTGGCAGTCATATCTTCCATGTGACCTATCACGTGACATTCACATCTTCCATGTGCTATCTTGGATTTCTTATGGTGGCGAAGGTTAACCGATGGAAGAAGACATGCATTCGACGTCAAATACGCTCAAATCACTTACAAATCCATACACAATTCGCGGTATAGCCACACTAAAAGATGTCGAGCGTTTTTCGAGAGGGCATTTTGAGAGATACCGCGAATTTATCGTGAAATTTATCGTGAAACTTATCGTGAAATTTATCGTGAACTATCTATCAAACAAGCTACCAATCTTATCAAAAGCGAACTCTATACTAACTGATTCTACAGGCTCTGAAACTACAAAGGACTTCTCTAAGGAATG